GACTGTCTTTATGAGGGGTTTGGGTCGGTGTCTGGCGGTTCAGGGTTTGAGGCTTTTTGACAATAATAATAACAACAACACCAACAACACCAACAACACCAACAACACCAACAACACCACCAACACCAGCACCGCCACCACCGCCGCCACTACCACCACAACAACAACACCAACAACAACAGCAGTATTAGCAGCAACAACACCAACGGCAACAGCAGCAGCAGCAGAACCTGGAGCAGCAACAACAGCAACTACAACTACAACGGCTACAACTACAACGACCACTACAGCTACAACTACAACTGCTAATCCACCACCACCACCACCACCGCCGCCGCCGCCGCCGCCAGCAGCAGCAGCACCACCATCATCAGCATCAGCATCAGCATCAGCATCAGCCTCAGCCTCAGCCTCAGCCTCAGCCTCAGCCTCAGCCTCAGCCTCAGCATCAGCATCAGCATCAGCATCAGCATCAGCACCACCACAACCACCACGAAGGCGACGACGACCACGACGAGGACGACGACTGATCCTGTTCTGTGTAGAACCTCTACTGAGACTCTACTGACATGAAGATAGCGGTGGCAGGGAAGAGTTGAAATGGCCTACAGACGGCGCAGTTCGGCTTAGCTCTTTGGTTTGCGGTGAGTGGCTTGGGTGCCTCAAGGTGGTGCCGTTGATTCCGAAATCTCGTCAAAGCATACTTTGCGTGCTCTTCGCAAGAAGTTATGATGATCTCTGACAGGCTCTACGCCCTACGCGTGACATTACTCCTGCGCGAATGGCACGCCCGCCCTTCCTTGTACTTGGCCACACTGGCTGGACCGGTTGCAGACAAACCACCTCAAACATCAAACATCTTTCAATGGCATGTGAACTCAACAAGGGCAACCCTAATTGTGGCATGATTAAACTGCAGCTGGGCCCTGGAGTACACTGCACTTGCACTGCATGTGTGATATGATGAGAAAGCAGCTGCACATCTCGATTGTCTGCAAGTAGTCGGAAGGTTGGCACGGAAATCAATCCAGTGGCCTGCGCCGGTACCCTGATCGCAGCCGGCGGCAAGCAATAGTTGCCCGTCTCGGCAAACCTTGTTCAGGTGCACATGAGGAAACTTAACAGTAGGAAGCCACAAAAAGTGGATTCAATCCACTGGGAGGCCTCTGCAGAGTGTGCGCTCTTGTGTGAGTTAACATGTTCGCAGGTGGCGACCGTATTCCAGCAAAGAGTGCATCTGTAAGCCGGAACTTCCCGAAACCGATGTCAGGTAGCTTTGTGGGGTGCGAAGGCATGGTACTGCACAGTGTGCCTACGATCATCTATCTGGTGTATGACAGAATCCATGGACTCATCGAGGCTCACAGACGGAGAAACCCCTGGCAAAGGTCGGTTTCTTCACACAGGCATCGGTCATCTTAAAATGGAATTGCCCACGTTACGGTACCCGATTACAAGCCGACTGATACGAAATGCAGCGGCTCCGACGGGTCATCTGCCCTGTTGGCGAGGTGGTATTCGACAGCTCGCGATTTGGCAGCTTGCTCCGTGCTGTACAGGAGATGGCATTCCGGTGGCAGACCACACCGGATTCTTGTATCCAAAGGTGAGCCCCTTGGACACTTCAACAATCTTCAACAAAAGAGGCAGTGAACTTCTGGCAGCTCACGGCATCATTGCATGTCACGAACGGGAGCATTCTGTTTTTTTGCTCCGAAACATTAGCAAAGAAATGTATTCTAGGCACTTTGGCCCGTACTGTATGCTGTCGGCGCCATATCTGCGAAATGCTGAGAAATCGCATGTCATAGCAGGAAGATAGTTCAAAGCTCAGGAACGCGCAGACTCCTGCTGGGAGTCGGCAAACTCTTGGTGGGACTTTCGGGCGGAAGCTCGGCATCGCGGGGTGAGCTCTCACCTGCTCAGCGGCAAACTCTGGTCTCAGACACTCTGCCTACAAGACCTGGTGTGCTGCCCGGGCACTTTCCGGACTCAACGAGAACGGACTTCGACCAGCACCACTGGCAGCGCTGCTGGAATGACCACCCTTTCGCCTCGCAGACAATGATAAAATGAATGTTCGATACTCAGGACAACTCAACGGGCGTTGTGGCAATGCTTGGACGTCCCAAGCCTTTCCGTCTGCTGGAGTTTCAAGAGCATGCGCTCCAAGCGTTCAAACCCGTCCTGGACATATCTTCATGTGCTGTCTGTGGCTCTGAACTCTGAAGGTCAACTTACCTGTACTACGCCCTGAACCGATGACATGAAGCAGTAGTGGTTCTATAAGTCTATAAATCATCCATCTGGCCAGCTTGTTTCATCAGCGTCCTTGTGCTCTCTGGGCTCCGGCCACGGAGTGTCCGGAGAAGTGGAGCCGCTGTATCGCTGGACGGAATCCTCCAACCAGCTCCAAGCCCCTTTGAAACCCTAAATCTGGGATGGTTTTGCCAATGTCGTCTCTGTAGTTGGCTATGGCTATTCCTCTACATGTTCGGCTGCAGCATAGTCCTGAATGACCAGATGCGCTTTCGCCGACTCCAGGACCTCGAGACCCCCGGCGGGGCCGCGATCTCCTTCGCCGAATTCCAAGGGCTCCTCCAAGTGCAGCGTCTCCAAAAAAGCAGACCAGCGCCTGCCGAAGGGGGAACAGTTCCGTGATCGGGAGGATTCTAGTATGTTGTTGTTGGGGGCCAGTAAGGAAAGGCAGTGCAACGCCTTCTTGGGATTTGATCTGCCATCTCCGCCAAGTGGGATGTCCGGTTTAACCGTGCGAATCCCTGCAGGTCTGTGAAGCATTTTCCATAGCACGCGACGATCTGTGCCACAAGTAGATTCCTGCACAGAGACGCGACAATGGTGCGGTATTATTATCTTGAAGCTGACTTTAGATTGATATAGTATCTTGAGCCCTTCCTTCTCACTTTAGCCATCTTGGTTCTGTATGAAGGGTTCTGGATTGCCTGTTCGTCGGGATATAGACTTGAAAAACCGTTGCTCCAGTAAAGTTTAAGGCCAAGGCACAACATGAATGTAACCATGATGATGCAAAAAACGCTAACCATAACCTGTACGGAATCATCTGCTTGCAAGCTTTGCCAGGAATCGCTTGGGACAGTCCCAAGGGTGATTTGCGACAGCACCAGGACCCAGCTCTGCACACCATCCAGCTCGACTAATGTATGGGCCATTGCGTTAATAGCAGTTGCAAAGGAGAAGACAAAGAAAAAAGCTGCAGCAATGGTCAGCGCGACTTGCGTTGCCACGTAGCGGCATGCCAAGAGAAAGGCCCCCACCCTCGTCGAGAATATGGAGATGTCCAGCAGGACAAGGCACCAGTGCAGCATCACAGCTAGGGCTGAGATCGCAGAGTACCAGTCCCTGACTGGATCCGACTGAGGGCAGGATCTTGTTAGTAAATCACCCTGAGCGCTGCCGTGGTACAGGCACCAAATCACTGGCTCCAGGCTCAGCATCGCAATCAAAACGACTAGAAGAACTGCGGAGCTGAACCATTCTGGGCTGAGCAGATAGCGTGGCATTGGTCCTATGATGGTGCGCACCATCTGCCCGGCCATTGCATCCCTGAGGAAGTGCAGGACGTGCTGGCAAAGCAGGGGCCCTAGGCCGAAGACATAGGTGAAGCCTCGACCTCGGGGGCGAGGTCCGATCTTTGCCTTAAGTCCTTGCAGTGCCTTGCAGTGCCTTGCAGCCCGTGTGTTGAGACAAGGCCTCGGCCCGGGGGGGCTTCGCCTTCTTGCAATCGAGACACAGACAGCGATGATGATGTTTGCCTCGCGTGACGTCGACCCATGTAGGAAAGACTGGCCGGTGAGCAACACGCACAAAGCGAAGATGGAGTACATGCGCTGGAGGATAAACCTGAACATCGCCTCAGATCGCAGCATGCTGGACATAAGTAGCAAGACCCCGACGCACCATCGACTGAGGCATCGAAGGCGGCTCCCCCAAACTACCCCTAGCATGGAAGACAAAGACATGTGTTTGTGCCATCCCGATCGCAAAGCAATTCAACCGTTCCCGACCTGTCGAAGGATCTGGAGCTTAAACACCGACGAGCATCCAGTCGATACCAAATTACATCCACTGCCTTCATCACCGCTGGATGGACGATGACCTCACAGGAACTCACCATTCACAACTCGGAGTGTAGACTCTCTGTTTGGGCATCGTCCTTGCACGCATGCCATCCAGCCAAAACAGAAGCATTCGTTGAGTACATTGAGTACATCTTGCTAAGTGTCATGCTCTCGCGGCTAAAGCGTCATCGAGAGAAGCCCTAGCTGGAAGACTCCAGACTTGACCATGGCCAACTCGCCCCCATGACCCTTGCTTCCACAAATCCCCTTTCGAGCGCCTGTTTGCGCTGTCTTCCTTTGGCTTGGGGTATCTAACAGCCGAAGGGCCTCTCAGTTCCGGCTTCTGGCCGATGGGCCTTAATGCGAGTCTCACCCGCGCCCTCCGGTATCAGTCCGTGACCCCACTTGTGCAAGTCGCACATTCAAGGATGCTCAAACGCAGAGCAGCAAACGAGCAGACTAGGGGTAAGCAATACTTCTGATCGCACAGCAGCCTGACGTCTTTGACGATCCATGCTATGACTGTCAGCAATGGATGGATTTCCAAGGAGATGGAACACGGTGGAATATGGTCGAACCGAGAGAGTAGAATCAACACAACACGAAATCTGCACTCGCAGTCGAGAGCTGACTGCACATCTGCCCCAGAAATACCTAGGTTCCCTTCTTAGGTGCCAAAATACTTATGAAACGGACCCTAAAGGGGACCCTAGTTTAGAGAACTCCCCACCTGTGGATCTCCATGTTCTGCAAGAACTTCGATATTCTCGCTAAAGTTGCCGAAGCTGTCCTCGTGCAAACTCACGGCTTCGAACAAGAGGGGGGGTGAACATGCAGGTTAAGGGTTAAGGGTTTCTATCAGCAGGCCGTCCTGGATCAAGTTCTTGATGTAGTAGATCGCTCGGCGGAGCTCCCCCTTCACAATCCGGGACCTCCAGATGAGGCCCTCCAGCAGTGGCCATAGAAGGTCAGGCGCGAATACGCTCATTTTGGAGATGATGTCCGGGTGCCGGCGGAAGAGGTCGTCACAACCGAAATAATACACGTTTCTGTCTCCGCGTATGGTCATCAAATCCTGGATGATCGTACGGGCGCAAGCCAAGTGGCCTGTTTCTATGGACCAGTAGAGCGGAGAAATCGACTGAGATCCGACTGCGACAGTTAGCATTTCGTGAATCCTTTGCCCTCGGGGTGCAATCGCAAGTGCCCTACTCAGAGCCAGGGGATCGTTCTGGCTCACAGCTTTCATCACCAACGTCGAACCTTCCACGTTGACACGGGTCATAATCTGCGCAAGAAGTTCCATAGACCTGCAGCTATCTGCAGCTGAGCCCACCAAATGATGCATGCGACAGATGACATCAGTTACAAGCCTAGTCCAAGCTATCACAGGAAGACAAAGCAAAAGGACATGTCAGCGATGCTGACACCTGCAATCCACGTCCCCGTGAACCTGCCTGTGCTGACGGCAATGCGGATGCAGCATCTCACCAACAGGGCCGGGAGAGTTTACTAAATGGCCAGCTAACGGCGGTCGTAGAGGTCGGGTCGAGATTCTCAGTACTACCAACAGAGGCTGTGCAAGAACTGACAATGTAGACTATGTAGATATGACTGGCATCGATGTCATCATCAGCCTCGCCGTCGGAACATCATCCAAAATCATCAGTTGTCAGCATCTGCATGATCAGCATCGTCAGCGCATACTCCTTGTCCTCCCCCTCCACTCCTCCTGCTTGTCATCATGCTGGAAATGTCTGCCACTACAGTAGCTTCATTGTCGGCATAATTGCCCACATCCGCCCTCACGAGGGATTCGTGAAGCCCTCATTTACTTCACTATGAACATTCGGCAAAATTCGGCATTACCTCATGTGTCTCATCCAATCAAATGCTAATATTGGCCATGCGGCCATCTGAGCGACTCCAAAGCCACTTGCCGGCCCTCACCCACATAAGGCTTCATGCTCTCCACGATAGCATCCGCCAGAGGAGCAAAGAATTGGCTAGGGATGCTCATGCCTCGGAAGTAGAAAGACAGAGGCATCTTCCATGCGCAGCCGCAGCAAGATTGCACAGGTCTGGTCTCGAAACCGGAAGCAGAACCATACCTCCCACCAGAGATCCAGTGTCCCACTGAAGCCTATGCTCAGTTGTGAATGCTGCCGCACGGAAGCCCTCCCACTCAGGACAGATAGCGGCTCTTTAAGGAAACAGAGAAGCTGCGATGCTTTCTCAGTGCCGAGGTGCCTACATGCCTAAGTCCGACAGCGGAAACTTCCGGCACCTTCACAGAAGGATCGGAGTAGATTTCCATGGCCAGATGCAGGATGTTATCAATCACATACCACAGTCTCGTTGCCGACACTTTCAAGTGGTTGCGCGCTCCAGGGCTCGTCTCAAAAAACTTGTCGAAAATACTCTCTCGGAAGGTCGAGAGATCATCTTCTGACATGTTGGTGATAAGCTGCTGAAGACTCCTCCTGTACCGCGACCTAATTTTCGGCAGCACTGCAATGCGACAGCGTGGACTTCTTGCAGAGTTCAGTCACTATTCATGTAATCAAACACAAGGTAGCAAGCATCCTGTGAATCTGGTCGGTCTGGCAGCCCTGGTATAACGCAAGAGCAGTGTCTAAAGCAGCTTTGATCAAGCATGCTGCGCTTGGTAGGCCTGACACAACTTTCAACGCTTTTTTGCAGAGCTGCTATTCGCATAACATGTGTGAACACAGTGAAGACTCGTCCAAACATCGCATCAGACATGAGCCTTGGGAATCGACTTTCAAGCCAATGGCCATGGCATTACAAAACGAGGTCTCCTGGGAAAATCTGCACCATTGGCGTTAGCGGAATTCATCACGCAAACAGGCACGAGGGTTGTGAGGAATTGCTCCCCAGGTCTCACACGAGTTCCTCCGAGAGAAAAATGGACAAGACCAGCCTCTCAAGACAAGCACGGACGAAAGGATCCGCAAAAGATCGCATCGAGGAGCATTAAAGAGAGCCCCGCGTGCTAGTTGATCGCTCTGTTCCTGTCCAGCCGCCCGAGTCTATTTTGCCTGTTGCAGAGGACTTTCGGCTGCTGATGGGGATGTTGGTTGCCCAGCCGTGTTGAATCGCCACCCTAGTAGAAGCCACGAAAGATCTTGACTAATTGAACCTGGGCGTCTCCTTCATTGAACCTTCATTGGAAATGTCTCATCAAGAAGTAGCAAGTGGACATGTTGACGCTGTATCAAAATTCTATCTCACATCAAACAGAGCATCAGCACTCAGGACTTGTGTACAAACCGCACGACTTTGCTGAGCAAGGTGCATAAAGGCACTAACTGCTCTTCCTTTTGGGTCATCGGCGCAGTAGCAGTAGCAGTGGCAGTGGCACTGGCAGTAGCAGTAGCAATAATAGTAGTAGTAGTAGTAGTACTAGTACTAGTACTAGTACTAGTGGTAGTGGTAGTGGCAGTAGCAGTAGCAATAGCAGTAGCAGCAGTAGCAGTAGTGGTAGTGGTAGTGGTAGTGGTAGTGGCAGTAGCAATAGCAATAGCAGTAGTAGCAGTAGTAGTAGCAGTAGTAGTAGCAGTAGTACTAGTAGTAGTAGCAGTAGTAGTAGTAGTAGCAGCAGCAGCAGCAGCAGTAGTAGTATCAACAGTAGTAGTAGTAGTAGTAGTAGTAGTAGTTGTAGTTGTAGTTGTAGTAGTAGTAGTAGTAGTAGTACAGTAGTAGTAGTAGTAGTACAGTAGTAGGAGTAGTAGTAGGAGTAGTAGTAGTAGTAGTAGTAGTAGTAATAGTAGTAGTAGTAGTAGTAGTAGCAGTAATAGTAGTAATAGTACAGTAGAATAGTAATTAAATTTGCAGCAGTACTTGTGGTGGTAGGGGTGATATTAAGTGTCAGTAGTAGCAGTATCAGTAGCAGTAGTAGTGGTCGCGGTAGTAGTGGTACTAGAATCTAGAACCAAAGGTAGTAGCTAGTAAGTTAGCAGTAGCAGTAGCAGCGTAGCAGCAGCATTAGCGGTTTGCTTGCCACCAAATATGGTGGTAGCGTTTACTGACATGCATGCCTTTCGCTCACTTTTGTTTACTCTCTTTGCCGACACACTTACAGAAGAGAGGAAAACCATTTGCCAGCCCCGTCTTTTGGTCCACTGCAAAAGCCTCCAGGCAGGCCAAGCGACCACGTCTGTAGTATTCAAGACTTCTCTGAAACCGAGCCGTTTTTCTCACAACGCCAAACGTGACGGAAGCATAGTCTGGAAGCCAAGCAACACCTTTGTGAGACATCCGGAGAGCGTGCGGGCGATCTGACCCCAAAACCAGGTCCAAGCTTCATCGAGGTCCATGTCCTGAGTCGGGGAGCTTTGAGTTTCATGGTGTCTCAGGCGCCAGACCGCAGTTGAGTCTGCAGGTCTTTTCATTAGAGGCTCCCAGTCTTGAGGCATCACGGAGCGAAGTGAAGCTAACCTGAGCAGCCAGGAAATCAGGCAAGCAGAAACCTGCCACCATCAGTGCGGCCTATGTGTTCCTACATGCGGCATGCTTGCTACAACCCTTGGACCTAAAACATTTTTAGAAAGATGAATAGGGAAGTAGGTAGGTCGATGGTTGGACGATGGACGGACGGACGGACATGCAGATGTATAGATGGACATACTGTAGCCGTGAATATTATTCCTGCGACTTCACTTGTTGAATCGTTTCCATTCCTACAATCGCTAGCTCATGCTAGCTCGTATCATTGCTTTGGCTGAGTCCTTAACCTAGACGAAACTCACAGCTGCGCACTTAGAAAACAAGCGTAGTATCAGTCCGTGAGGCAGGACGGTCTTGAAGCTGACCAAGGAGATAGTCTTCCTTCCTTTTGCAACATAGTGTCGGTTGAGAATCAACGCCAACACATGGCATTCCTCCTGCATCCTGTATGGTTTGTCAGCATTGTTCGCCATTGCGCCAAAATAATCCAATGTGCAGTTCATCCAGTCCGTGTCAGCATAGCCCATGACAGATGCATTGAACATAAACATGTCCCTGAAGGTCTGTGGAGTTTCTATCACCTTCTTCTTTGTTCGTGCAGCCTTGATGTCGCCACCTTCAGGCTCCTTCTGTCCCGGAGCTTGCGCAGTCGCATCCCCGTGCACTTCCGATGATTCATGCTCGTGGTGCTCCGCGCTGTACTTGTTTGCATCTTGCCAGCTGCAAAGGATCCGTCGAACCCGTTCGCCGTACTCGCGCTTCACGAACAAGAAGATGCCCCCTATGTAGTTGAAGAGGACCCGGAAGCTTTGGAAGGACACCTCGGAGAAACGATGTCCCAGCTCGCCGTCCATGGCCGTCGTGATGCCAGCGACGAAGGTCTCCACATTCTCAAGCGACACCGTGTTCATGTGCTGGAAAGCGAGCTTTTCAGCCTTGTCCTTCAAAGTTTCTGGGTTCCCAGAATCTGCAATGAGGCTGCTTGTGCCATTCATGAACCGCACGGCAAATACATGGCGTGAAAAACGAAAGGACTTCTGTAAATGCGGTGACAGCTCCATGACGGCGTCCCAGACGGCTTCTCCAGCGGCTTGCCTAGAGCCAGACCTCTCAACAAAGGCTAGCCATGTCTCCTTGATTTCCTCAATCCAGTCTTCAGGCAATCGCAGCTTCTCGAGCATGGCATCCTGCACGCCACTCTCGAATTTTTCTCTGCAGTATCGCGCCAGGTTCTCCTGCGAGGGCATATTTTCGCCAACCTCCTCCACCACATCTCCCTCGTCGCTCGAGGAAGATGCTGAGCTCTTCGGTCTGGCCTCTTCGTCAGCACTGCCCTCCTGCTCTGTGCTGCCCTCTGAAGTACGTCCAATGCTGCTGCTTCCGGAGACGCAAAAGCGCCCGGCATCTGACATTGTCAAGCATTGCAGGTGAAAGATTCAACGGCCAAGCCTCTAAGCCCTACATCACCACCGTTGATGGCCTACGGCCCGTTCGTGCTTGTCGGATATCAAGAGAAGGCAACACGATTTGATATTTAGGCTGCTCACCACGGAAGCTCGTCGGTTCTGACAGGGAGTGCTCTCTGCCTGCACCTGGATACAAATTCAAACGTCCTTTCTCAATCATTCTCAATCGCTTTGGGCCAGCAGCAAGCCGTAAAGCAACACCGGGCCACCGTGGGCACCCCGCGAAAAAGCAAACAGGTTGCTTCGGAAGTCTGGTTGCCTTGATTGCAACACTAACAGCCTCGCGACTTGAAGATGCAAGCCGTGGGTTCTGAAAGGTACTGGAAGCTTGGCCGTGCTGCGACAGCAAACTGCCAGGGCCTGCTGTGCCATGGCCTTTCGACTCAGTATTGAGGCCGGAACCGACAGGGCGATCAGCTCCCGGTCGAAGACGCGGACTGCCCCGGAAAGCCTGGACTGGCGGTCCAGACACCTGGGATTTCTCTTAGAGTCTTAGCGGCGAGGGTCTACCTGTGCCGAGACTGATGGGAAAAGAGGACGTACAGTACCTGTTGCAGCATAATGCGGGAGCAGAAGAACTAACAACTGGTCATGGTACTGGTGCTGGTGGTCGTGGTGGTCGTCGTCGTGGTGGTGGTAGTAGTCGTACTAGCAGTAGAAGCAGCAGTAGAAGCAGCAGTAGCAGAAGCAGGAGCAGGAGCAGGAGCAGGAGCAGCAGCAGTAGCAGTAGCAAAATGTAGCAAAAGTCGTAGTAGTGGTGGTGGTGGTGGTGGTGGTAGTAGTAGTAGTAGTAGTAGCAGGAGTAGTAGTAATAGTAGTAGTAGTAGTAGTAGCAGTAGTAGTAGTAGTAGTAGTAGAAGTAGTAGTTGTATTAGTAGTAGTGGTCGTCGTCGTCGTCGCCGTCGTGCAAAGCACTACATCAGTGATTTGTCCGACTTACACCTCGCATGACCCTGAGCTGCAACCGTCGCCACCACTGCGACCATCAACCCCGGCTCTGAAAATGTTTTCGGTTGCATCTACTGAGTCCACTGGTACTACCGTCACCAAGACGACAGCGACTAACTACTCCAAAATCCATGTCGAGTGGTCTTGCTCGCAACTGCTGGCAGCAGGAGTCTTTGCTGACATCGTGCGTGATGCCACTGTCGGGGTGGTTCTTGCCGTTGCTGCTATTGCTGCCGGTTCTGCAGTTCTACGAGTTTGTCGTTGTCACTTTTGTTGCTGTCGTTGTTGATGTTGCTGCTGCTGCTGCTGCTGCGCTTGCTTCTTGTCAGAAGTTCTTGCTTCGGACGTGGTTCCTACGGCTGTTCCTGCTTGCAGGTTTGCTTGCGCAGTTGGTGTTTATCTTTTGTGATTGCTGATATTGCTACATTTCTTGAGATGGTACTTGCACTTCCGACGATCACTGCTTCTGTGCCACTTCAATCCTTCAAATCATCCAGTTGTGCAGGGTAGCATAAACTCGATGCCGCGACTGATGCCGGCCTGACTTCGCCCTTCGCTTCGCCAAGCCAGAGGTGGTCCGAGCTACCACAAGTGGTAGTCACCTGACAGCGCTAGTCAATCGCTGTAGGCTTCTATGTGATGCAGATACTGAGGCATCGTGTATGCATGATCCAGGTCAGGAAACTTTCAGAATGATCATCGCAGTGGGTCTAAGCAGATACAAAACCAACACTGCCAACAGGACCCAAAACAGACATCAACGTGAGCGTCAAAGCATGCTGTCTTCTTGTCGTTCACTCACGGAATCGCTGACTCACTCACTTCCACAAATAGCAACTAAATATAGCAATGCTGTAAACAAGAACGACGACTGCCACGACAAAGTAGCAACAGGCGCCATCTCACAGGCAAAACCATGAACCAACACCTTTCCTCAAATCACGAGCACATCCACGACCGAAACATACCGAAACCAACACCTATCAAAACAGCAATGGCGATGACGATCAATACATGGCACTAGCAACTGCAACCACAGCCACAACACGACCTAGCCCAGGGCACAGTGAGAAGGAGGCGGTACGGCACAATGCGACGCGCAAGGGAAAATGCAATTGCAGCTAACATCACCAAAAGAAATCGCACAACCAAAGCCATGCTCTACCTCAGCACTACACTGTCACACACTCAAACAGAGCACCACCAGAAACAGCACCAAATCCAGCCTAAACAACACAAACTAACACCAACCTGAAACAAGCAGCGGAAAGAGTGCTCCCATAGCCAGCTGCAGAAGAAGGACACAAGAACACCTTCGAACGAGAAACAGCCACAGCAAAACGAAAGACAATGACAAAGGCAATTGCGATGGCAATGGCACCCTCTATGACGATGATAACAACAATGATGATAGACTCAATTCCAGAGCCCCGTCCATATCTTCAAGTTTACTCCCCGCAGCTACGAAATGACCACGATGTCTCTACAGCGGGTAAAGGGTGGTCAAGGGCGACACGACAACCCAAGAGTGTCAGAAAGACGCTTGCTGCGGGAAAGTGGCATTGAGCCGCTGGATGCCTGGATGGACATCAGATCCCTCCTGAGTACGGGGGGATGCGCAGCGAAATAGCGAGTCGGCCTGGGGCTTCGCAGGCTTTCTTCAACTCGCCACGCCGATAACTTATAGGGCTTGGGGGTGCCTTCGGCTCTAAAAGCCCTAAACCCTCAAGGCAGCAGAAAGGGAGGGAGAGGGAGGGAGGGAGGGATTGAGGCAGAGGGGGCAGGGCAGGGGGAGAGCGGGCGAGAGAGGGAGTGCGGGAGGAAGTAAGTGCATGTGTAAGTGAGGCAGACTGAGAGAAAGTGAGAGAGAGAGAGAGAGAGCGCGAGAGAGCGAGAGACGGAGAAAACAAGAGAGAGAGAGAGAGAGAGAGAGAGAGAGATAAAGAGAAAGATGGAGATCGGGATCCCGGGCCAGCCACTCGTAGGCTTCCACAATCACAGTTACTACAACTACAATGTGCCTAGAAGGCATTCAGCGCTTCATGCCCTGTGCGAGTCCTCCTTCACGACATGACGGTCGAAAAAGTTAAGGCGGCGCATGGGTAGATAGTGTCACGATCCACCTACTGCAGCAGATTCGTTTCAGCGACTTTCAGGCATGATGCTCGCATAAGTTTGAAGCAGTCTTCTCTCCATTGGTATCTGGCTTGGGCTCAGGGTTGGGTCCTCAGTGACTGAGGCGAGGGTTCTTGAGAATTGGCCGTGGCCGGTGGGTGAACTGCGGTGCTTGCCCCTGGAACACTGGCCAATGGACGGCGCGAGCATGTTTGTCAAAGACCGCAACATTGGCATGCTCTCACACTCATCGCATGCGAGTCCGCCACAGCCCTGCAGAGATGAACAGGGCAGCAGGTAGACTTCCAAGCGAGAAGGTGGTTCTTTCGGATAGTAGACAGGCCCATCGCAGTGCGGATGGATGCCCTGTCCGGGCCTCGGAGTACATGGCCTAGCCACACATTCATAGCATCACGGCTGCAAATTCAGACAGTTACAGGTTCCGAGCATCTGTGATGCTGCGACAGCTTTCGGGCTTCGCGAGCACTTCGTTCAGCTTTCTGCAAATCACCACCTTTGCTTAGGTGGCTGCCGGTAGCCGTTGATGCGAATGCTATTCATGGGATACCTCAGCAGCCAGATCAATCGAATTCTTCCATGCCCGATCAGCCAAAAGCCTCCTGGTCGGACAGCATATCTACAGCTGCCACGCTTTTGAACCAGCTGCAGCTTTAGCACATGACTCCCAGAAACATGAAGATAATCACGAGCAAAGGTTGTGGCGGAGCATCCTTTCCAGATTGTTCAAGCATGAAGGCAAGCAATGGGTGTCGGGGTATGTTAAGTCGCTTCCTCTGCGCAGATCTTGTTGGAACGGAGTGATCGTCCTTTTGTATGCCAAGTCTTCACGTAATCACTTCCAAATGTCAGGCTAGAAAGCAAGGCCCTCACCTGAATCTCCGGAGGCTTCGACAGTTAACTTGAGATGCAGGTCCTGCAGTCAAGCCCTTAAGCTACTGCACTGCCCTTGTGCCCCTTGGTCATCCTACAGACGCATGTAAGTAGACGCTTTGAATAGGTCACAATGATGCATCAATGCTGGATCGCTAGGGGCAAACACCCAAACACACCCATTGAGCGCACAACCGAATGATTACGAGACAGTCTTATGAAGGGAGTGCAGGAACCCCGCGCTGAGCTTGAGGCAGGGCTGCGTCGAAGACGCCGAGCTGGTGCAGCGCGTCCGCTAACCTGTAAGTGGGTTTCGGGCTTGTGGGCCAGGGGCGCTGGTCCACGGTAGGGTTGCAGGGGAGGGCTCGAGTGCTGTGCCAACATCTTTTCAACCACTGCCGCTGCCATGTTAATAGAGGATGCATCCTTCTTGCCTCATGTTAACCTTTTTGTTCTTGAATCTCTCGGAAGCTTGACATCGAAAGTGCTGCAAGCTTGCAAGGCACGCGCAGCTGCATATTGCTGCATCAGTGCTTCAAAGACTAATTGCAGTCAGCGAGCTGGGACTCTTGGATTGGGTTGCAGTGCAGACCCATGCCCGTCAGGAAAAGCTGTATCTCCACTCCCCACGCTCTTCCCACGGCGAGGGTTCGTGAAGCATGCCGTCGGTTCCCGTCAGGGTTCGGCATCTCCAGAATCCATCTTCGACCCCTATTAGCGAGTTTCAGAAGACTTTTTGTATGTGTGGACATGTTGGATTATGTGCTTCATTTCTCAGCGTGGTGCATATCTGGCTGGCGCAACTGCTGTTTCCGTGGCCTGACACTCTGTTCCGCATTCATCACCGTCATGTCGGTAACCAAGGAAGCGAGGATGTGCGTAGAACGCATTTAAAGGGAGTGGCAGATATACTGCGCCACTGCAGGTTGACATACTGAGCTGCCGCAATCCTTGGAGCGAGGTCTTGGTAGCGCTGCACATGTCCGAATCTCCTGCAAATGATGGGTTCTTAAAGGCCACCCCGACCTTGCACCCTAAAGCTACATAATCCCCATGAGTCTCAGAATCTGTAAGCAGCGACCACCGTAAGGGATTCTGCTTCTGTCATGCGATGTTTTCGTCTAGTCTTGTCCTTTGCTTTGTCTCTATCACGAAATGAGAGCCACGTGCCGTTGAATGTGTGCTATCAACTCACGCCCCATGCCACGGATGTTCACACGGCAGTTGATTCCAACGTTCTTCAAAATGTAAACCTGTGGAGATGGGAGACATGCTGCATGCTGGGAACATGATTGAGTCTAACTTGGACCCACGCTTCGGAAGCAGCTGATTTCGGATACATTGCCCGTGGCATTGGCAGTGCTGCTGCAAAATCTCTTAGAGTCGCGCTTCTGCTGCGACTCTGGCAGAGGCATCCGCCTATCGGCACCAAGTCAGCACGAATGAAAGTTTCTAACTCCAACGAGTAGCCTACCTGATGGATGCTGGAAGCCCGCACATTCCAGTCTGGCATGCTCATTGGATTCTTGGCGTCCGGCATCAGCCCTCGTCCACAGGTACATCTGTCACCTGCAACAAGAGCGAGGAGTTTGTAAGACCGCCCTTGTGGCCATGATCCAACGATATCCAATGTTTCCGCTTGCTTGTGGCCAGCAACTCCAGCACATGACAGAGTCCCTGGGAGGGACACTGCGGGCCTGCACCCCACTCCTGGGAAGATCTCGTGCGCATGTCCTGCAGCATATGGATTTAGCCAACCCTTGCCGGGGGTCGAGCTCGACCTTTCTGCAGTTATGCAAGCATACCGAAGGAGGGACTAAACTCCTGGCGCTCCTCCCAGGAGCGCATGTCCCCATCCGCGATCTGAAAGAACTCCGCCTCCTCCTCCTTTGCAGCGCGTGACTCGGCCCTAGGCTCTCATCCAAGCATAGAGGCTTAGAGTTGACATGTTTTCTGAGAACATGAGGAGGTATAGTTTGCATAACTGAGCATTTGAGATCGAGTGACCTCTGGAAGGACAGGGCTGCACTTGCTAGCCTTCGAGATCCACTCAGGGATGTAGTAGATCTCTGGTATTGTGCCAACCTGGCTGCGTGCCATAACAGCTCCCAGCTTTCAGCATAAACACAAGGGACCCATGTGCATTCCGAATCACTGATGCCACCATGCCCTCCGCTTCTGCTAGTATTCACCATTTACAAACCGGGGAATTTGTCCCAGGTTCTTTCCGGTATCCCTGACTGCAACACCTACATCGGTGCAGCTGTGGTGGCGACAGGACAGGGCTGACGTTCCACGGCCGTGTTTTGTGTGACCGCCTTGCCTGGTAGGGTGCCAGTATCTGCTTGGAAGAAGGTGTCCCCGGGGCTGTTGCCCTGAGGCCTGACCTGATCGCCCAAAAAGGGTCAAAAATGCCGCCTGACCCTATGTGGTGCAGCTACGGAAGCAGAGGCGCGGCTTCACACTGCAGGTACAACAAGCAGACCCGCGGTCAATGCTTGTCAGCGTGCTGCAAGCAACTGAGAAGGCAGCTGCGCGTCCAAGGCTTCCATGGCCTGATCCCTGGCAGAAGTCTTCCGGTTGTCATTCACTCTACCAGTCTCTTCATGTGCATTCTGCATCAAAAGACATCCGGCTAAGGCCTTGCTTCAATCCAGACTGTACGGGGCAAGGCCTGAGACTGGCAGGAACTCGTGGAGAAGGACCTGCAGCAGCACCTGGGAAGAGACGTGGTTTTCTTTGGCTGCACTTGAAACAAGGTGAAGACAAGGAGCTGTCAAGTTTTGTAAGAACACATTGCCGGTGTTATCTTGGTAATGAAGAACCTGCTGGAATAGCCTCCATAATCAGAGTCGCCACTTGCTAGTAGCGCAGTACCATTGGCCAGTGCAATTCTGCCGTCAGGTACCAGTAGTTAACGACTTAGTGTCGCAAAGACATGAGTCACGAGTTGCAGAGGAAGCACGTCCGAATGCGTCCGATGCTCTCAACCCATTTAAGCAAGATTCGGGCTTCGTCATGAGCAGAGGTCAAGTCTTGAGTCTGCTTTGCTGCCCCCTTCATCCCAATGGAATTCTGAGGCGTGGGACTTCCTGCCATGGCTAAAGGCAGCAGCTCCTGCATGCTGGAGTCATGGCATACGAGTTTCAGCAGGTCAAAACCGACAAACGAGAGCGATGTGCCATGACAAGGCGTCAAGGACTTGTCAGTGTTGATCTAGGGGTCTAGGAGATGCTTCAACTTGATGGACCCAAAACATGCATAGTCTGAAAGGCTCCATGGTGTCTGCTGCAACATCGAGGCCACCGACGAGCCGTGGAGCCTGACCAAGTGCGACACTGCGACCACATGTCAGTCACAACACCAGAAATTGCAGAATTTCACAGAACAAACAGCCGTCTCAGAGCATTAGAAAGGAGCCTGAGATTTGTACCGACATGTATCGAGGCATGCTGTGCGGGCTCTCTGGGGCCTCGTGGCTCGGGCAGGCATACCAGTCCTTGGCTCCGCCATACGCCAGAAAGCGAGGAATCTTCAGGGTTTCTTTTGGGTTCTTGTTGTAAGGAGTCTAGTTTAAATTACCATCATAGGGATCTATAGTAAACAATAGATGGTTTCTTTATTCTGGTCACTTAAGTTAAATCCCAAATCCCAAAACAAGAACCCAGTCTTCAGCTCCGACAAGCGAATGAGGGAACCCCCCGTTCCAGGTGGCCGACTCCCTGCTGCGGGCCACGAGCCACGCCGTTGAGCTCGAAGACCTACATTGGGGCTAGTTCTCTGGGTGGGGCTACGCGTTGGGCTAATCAGGGTTGCTTGTATAAGGGTCCCGTAGTATATTGGGGACCTAAAGAGGGACCCTAATTTAGAGCATTGACAGCTCCAAGGACGCTGGTCTCACGACAGAGGTCTCAGGACATGACCCCGCGGAAGCGGTGTGGCTTCTCCGGTATGACTGCAGCAGCTGCGGCGTACTGGTACCTAATAATAGGGGAAACTCACGACTCCTTCTGGCTGGCACAGAAAGCTCTCCAAGAGAAAACCAAATAAGCCATGCACACATCCAGCTCGACCGCCACCATCTCCCCATCTCAGCAGGACATGGCACCCAGCAGCTTTGTTGCATCAACGCACTAACGTCGTTGACCACGTAGTTGGCGACGGCTTCAGCCCGAAGCCGTTGGGGAAGGTGCAAGCTCTGAGATCGAAACTTGTGGCCCAGTGTCCAACTCCGCGACCAACAATCTGTCAAAGGGAGGAGATCGTGGAGCTTCTGGGAGGCCCAACGAAAACTTCTAGACCGTCTCGAACTACGATGATATTACATAGAGCGGTCTAGGGTGCCCTGTCCAGATGCGCAGATGCCTGCACCCCATCTGCCAAGTAGGCTGCCCGACCGTTCGGGTCGAGGTAAACCTCAGAGCAAGACGAAACGGGGATTTTGAAGTTTATGCTCTGCCCGACCCGCTGGGGCAAGCACGTGCCCTGACAGAGCTCCTTCGCAGCCCAGGACGGATGCCCTGAAGGCCCACTCTCCTCAGAGCATCTCAGCTCCTTTCACAACAGACCCCCCGTGGCCCGTTGTCCTGCAGGCGGCGCCGCCTCTGTCATCGTGGAGGCCAGTCGGACTGACGTTCCCCTTAGAGCGGTTGCTTCTCTGGTGGCAAAGGGAACACAGCCCCAGACTCAATAAGGAAGCATCAAAGGGTGAAAAGTTCACTTGCTGAGGATGCCACAAGCGGCCTCTCCTTCTGTGGCAGGCTGCCACTCCAACCAGTGGGCACAGGAAACTCAAATCGCAGAGCCTGTGTGGAGTTGAGTAGGCTTGGAATCAACTTGCTACTTGTAGTGATCCGGGATCCTTGGAATCTACTGCCAGTCCTTCAACTTTGCCTCCTTTATGACATGAACAGTCACAGGCACGGTGCGCACACCACATGTGTAAGATTATCTGCGAACATGTCGTATCCTGGCTGTAATGATGCGACAAAGACAAGCTGCGGCTGCGACTTGCGGAACACTCTCAGTCCGACCCTGCAGAGATCTGAGTCTCTGACAAACTACGCTCCTGGCCAAAAGCTCTGGGGATCTTTGGTCCTGATCATCCAGCCAGAAGCCCCGAGTATTCAAGACAGGAGGCTCTCGGATTCTCGTCTTGGCCGCCCTCAGTCTCTAGTGAATTCAGGCTACGTGAATATCCACTGTGATTCGAAGATTCAGCGCCACCTCTCGTGAATGCCGATGCCAAACTGCTGTAGTCTAAGTCGTCAGAGCCTGGGCACAGTTCGAAGCCAGCTCCCTGCACAAACGAGTCCTCTAGCGGCAGCCAGCGTGGACAGCTGCCTGCCATGTTTTCAAAAGCAGTGCTGTCGCCGAGGTGCATACTCGCAGCGGATGCCGGCCTTCCCACACGTGGAAGGCGCCATGCGAAAGGGCTCCGGAACATGGAGGAGCCTGCAAGCACAGGGCACAGCCTTACACTCCCTTCCAAGCTTTGTCCAACATCAGCATCATCCTCACTGCACTTCACGTGACATGTGCAAAGTGCCTGCGGTCCCGTGGTCCCTGCGAGTAGCTTCTAGCAGGGCATCTGCAAACAGAAGCCAAGCCTCTGGAGCCGGATGTGCTCAGGTCACTGCCTGGGGCTCTTCCGCTGCAACGGCTACACTCGCAGCTCAGAAAGTTCCTTTTCCGGGAAGCGCCTGCAGCGCCTGCAGCGCGCAGCGCTGTCCCGGCAGTGGAGACTTCCATCGCGGTGCTTTGGCCCAAATCGCGGCAGAGATACAGACAGGTTCCGCAAAAAAGGAGCACTATACATTCAAACGTGTATGGTCTATTTCAAGCTGCGACCCTGACCGAAGGCATAGCCAGCGACGACAAGCAATAGAAGCGGTGGCGGGCTGCAGCAGGAACGGGCGGGCCTGTCATCCTGAGACAAGGCTCATTCACACATGGGCCGAGGTCGACCATAAGACATTGCCGAAGCTTTGAGATTTAGGTTTGGGCCATAGCATGCCATAGCTCTTCAATATTCAAGCTCCTGCTTGCCTGGCCCGAAGTTCAATGGGGTAGTAGCAGTATCAACGGTAAGGGTAGTGAAAAAGCAAACCAAGGGGGCCAACAGCAACAGCAATAGCAGCGGCGGCGGTGATGGTAAGACGGTAGCAGCAGCTGAGGCGATAGCAATAAGGCGAACAATGAAGGGCATTGGAAGTTGGAAGGGAGGCCTACAGGGAGAAGGGGGGACAGGGGCACAGCCGGGAGGGGGGGGCGGACAGTGGGTCCGCCTCCGCACCCTGAATTCAATCAATTTCAATGCATCACCTACCCAGCATCTGCACAGAGAAACGAGATTTATCAATCTTCTAGGGGCCCTGACCAATCAGCCTGACAACTTCGATTCCTCATTGAGTACAAGGAACCAAAACTGCAGCTGAGTCCTCACAACTCGCTTTCGTGACAGCTCCCCAAGTGCCCTGAGGCCAGTTACTGTAGAACACATCTCGAAGTGCCTGATCGCTTTGGGGACAAGCCCCAGCCGTCCAAGACCGTCGTGACATGTGCAGCACATCGGTTCGGACTTTCTGTCGGCAACGGCTCTTCTGCCATCAGTCACGTAGCTGGGGCTCTCCCAGCCACTCCGGAGACGGCAGCGAGTCGAAGCAATGGCGTTTAGGATGATAGACATGGTCTGAAAAGTACTTGCACAGAGAAGACTCCGCTTCGGAGACGTCTGGAAAGCGCAGTGCAATTCCCTGCGGATTTCCAGCGGCCAGGCTCGTAAAAGAAAAAATTCTCGCATGCCCCTGGTGCTACGTCAGCCAATTGGCTGCTGTGCTCACAAGGTGCGGTGACAATGGAGCACGATACGTCGTCTACGTTCGCTCCACAGAAATCTCGCCAAGTATTCCGATGTTTATCTGCAGCGTGTTGCTTACGGCTGTGTGAGGATGCCATTGGCTCAAAACCCAAACCAGAGTCATCATGGCTACGATCTCCCCTGGCGATAAAGTGTCACTGTGACTAAGCATAGGCCATGGTGGCCTCAAGGATTGTTGGGCAAAATATTCGGTTAATTATGGCCAATGCATGCTCGAGAATCCAGGTGCTCCTAACCCTGGACTCCCGGGCAGTGCCTGTGCCGGCCCCCGTCTCGCTTCAAGTGAGGTACTGCCACTCTTTTTTGTGTAACCGCACTGTTGCAAGGTTTTGAAGGGCGAGCATGAGCTGTAGGCAGGCGGTCACTCGGCACAGCAAAATCCAATCAAAAGGCACTGCCAGGTTGATTGTGCAGGCAGTCGCACTATCGAATAAGTCCTTACATGCAAGTCTAGTCGTGCCGTGGGATAAAGTCGGTGGTCAGATGCGCTGCTGCAGGACCCTACGACTCTGCTGCCAGATCACGCTTCACAGAGCCCCCCAAACATATATTTGGCCTGTTGCCATTCTAGGATACACTAGGTGTCTTTGATAACAACATGCTCTGCAGTTGATCAACGGCACTTCGGTGTACCGGTTGTGCAGAAACATGCTTCAAGAGGGCAACCAAGCCCGGCACGCCGGCCTGAGCGGCATGTCAGCACAGAGATCACGTGATGACGACAGTCTCGATCGTATGCATGGCATAACATGGCATTCTGCTTGCTTCGACCGTAGCAATAGTATGTATAAATGCATGCATGCAGGCATGGGGATGGATGGATGGACAGACGGATGGATGCATGCATGCATGGATGGATGGATTGTATGAGTGTGCTTGTCTGCGTACGAATCGACCGGGCAATACAGCATGAACGACTTGCACACTATCCTGATGCTGCAAACCCACTTTTGTCAAGGTCAGCACTATACGATTTGGTCGAAGGAGTTCTCCTCAAGCCAGAGTAGACAGATATGTAGACAGAACGGAGCTGTGGTGTTTCAGTTCAGCAACAAACGAAGACCTTCCCCGGTCCTTCTCAGCAGCACGAGCTCCTCTGTCGAGTGCGACCTCGGGGTCTGACTGCAGCCCTCCACCAGCCGGGATGGCAAGTCATGACCACGGTCCCATGGTGCGCGCCTGGCCGTGCCGTCGGGTAGTATCCCCGCTGGACCAACGAGTTCATAGCACCGTGCCCGTAGTAGCCTCCTGCAATGATTGTGCAGGTATCTCCACAGGCCCTCTCGTTCGCTGCAGCAGCCTGTTGCGATCGAACGCGCTCCATCCCAGTTAAGATCCAATTCAGAATCTGGCCTGGCGCATAGCCTGGATGAATGTTCTGGTATCCTCAGCAGCTCACCCGCAGAGAAGCGAAGTTTGCAAGAACATTGACCCGGCATTTTGGCTGCAGAGTCTTCGACGTCAAACCGCAGTCAAACAACTTGCAATCTCAACCCTGCCGATAACCTGCCATCCAGAGTGTAAGCATACTGGATTCAGGATAAAAAGTCACACAATGACTCTGACTACTTGTCGTCTCAATCCAGGTGCCCGAAATGAGAGCTGAGGGAAAGGCCGTGGTACCCATACTGGCCCGGCGGCAGAGCATACCTTGCCGAACGTTGCCGAGGCAAGGTCCCTTTTGCTCCACAAAAGTCGGAATAGAAGAGCGGACGGCTCTGCCCTGCTCCTCCCGCGATGAAGCACACTCTTGTTCTAACTTCTGCGGAAAAGCTTGCCCTCCGTGTCTGCCTCTCTAATTCTTCTTCTTCTTCCGTGGACGAGCTGGTCTGCGTGCCCCGCTTGTAGCAGCATCGTTTCATGGGTCTTTCTGTATGTTCTGTGGAACCCCCAAACTCAGTCAGCTACTTGTTAAGAGTCCGTTTTAATTTGCTTTGTTGTGTTTGGTTTGGTTTTTGGTGTGGGATTTACATACGTTTGTTTAGACAGCCAAGGCACGGTCAACGCATTGTTTTGTTGTACACTCCCTATCGCTTCCCATCGCATCTAGCCAACGGCCACTTGCACACGAGCAAGGAAAAAACATCCCCTATGAACAAGAAATTGTTTGCGTGACTCAAGTTGATTTAGTCAGTTAGTATGCACATTATGTACCCGGGTTGCACCGTCTCACAGATCTCTGACAAATGTCTGCTTCTGCAGGTGCACTTCTATCAATTGGTCGGCTACAGCTTGTGTGAACTTCGGGATTTTTCTTTTGTCCAACTTCCCAGGCACAGGGATCACCGGCATACCCGAATGCTCATCCTTCCTTGTCAATGCCGTGCCTGCCTTGCGGTTTATTTTCCAGCCTGTGCCCCTGGTGTACCGGAAACGAACGGAGTCGCTGGATCTAGTTACACTGGAACTCACGATCACTTGAAGCCCTCTGTACGTTTTGTGGAGGTGGGCGTGAGCCTTCTCTCGTATTCAGATGGCTGTAAACCTCGGGCTCCAGCCCAGGAGGATACGCGCCGGCTCCAGTGTGGAATGGGTTCACACCATAGCCTGGCGCAGCTCGCTGCACCACTTCTCTGCACAATCCTCTGCCCAGCCTCCGTACGTCCCCGAGCTTTGTCCGGGTCCTGCGCATCTTCGCTAATGGCACGATGTGGCTAGCAGCTAGCTGCTCAAAACTGAGTCGTGGTGGTTCTCCCACGTCGGATTTTTTCACTTATGTGTAGTGGCACTGCTCGGGCGTCCTCCTGGCATGGGCGTAGGAAAAGGTGCCCCCTTTGGGCAGGGCGCGACAGGAATCGGGCCCATGCCAAGGGGCAAGTAGCCGTTGTCCATCCCGGCGTATTGGCCCTGCGAAGCATGATCCCGTGTCAGCGACAGACATGCGAAGCCCAATATTCGGAGAGAACCACATCTCGGGCTGCTGATTTTCCCTGTCCGGTGCTACGCAGGCAGTGGCCTGTGGAGGTGGGAAACTGCCTCAGTGGTGACCAAGTGAGTTGCGAGCGACTCGCAAAACATAGGACTCCAACGAGTGATGACGAGCTGGGTGTTTACATTCCCCTACATGTCCTGCAAAGTCAGCCTATCATTCGCAGGTTCCGACTCGGCACGCTGACCAAAGGAGGTTTCCCAGGTTCCGATCACAGCCCTCCAACTGCTGCATAGAGGCCATCTGGGACTTTCTCACAGCAAATTGATCGCTCGCTTCGCTTGACGGCTCCTCAGTCTGAATTGCAGGCTCAAGGTCCTGAAAATGCCTGCTGATGCATGGTATCAGCCAAGCTGTCCAACAAGACGGGTGTTGCACATCATGTGCGGGTCACATACAACAACAGGTATGCCATTCGAGCGGACCTGCTGTATGTGTGGCCACATGCTGAGGAGGCTGAAGGTGCTTTGATACTTTTCAACTGCTATCCCGCCCCGTCGTGGCTGCTTGCTTTCGAGGTGCCATAGGGCAGCTGGTGCATGCGCATGTCCTGCGAAAAGGTATGCACAACCGCGTAAGAGACAGCCACTGCTTTGAAAACACCACAGGAGGTAAATTTAGTAAGCCCACAGGAAATGCGAGACAAGAACAAATAGCCTTCAACTGCGAGAGACCTGCTGTGTCATGCTTGCACAGATGGCCGATCTTCCAGTGAGCACACACTTGAGTTGGAGTCAAGCTGACAGGAAAGCAAAGACGAGATGGCGCGACGGTTCATAGAACTGACAACAGCAGATCCACACAAGCATGGACCGGGGCAAGCTTCTGTTTGGGCTTTTTCCCCGTGCGGGGATGTGTACCGATCCTCAGTGGCCAAAGCGTACAGCCTACGAACCCCAAGCCTGGCCGGCACTCATGGCGGCGGAAAGTACGAAGCGGGGCACACGTCCCTGATTTGCCGCTGGTTTGCTGAGCCGAAAAATCTTGGATATATCTGCGCCTCGGCTAAATTTTGCGCGTCTGAGAAGCTATACGCAGTCAGCATTGCGGCATGCAGCGCGACCTGCATTAAATGGGCCAACTCTTTTGCTGCCGCATAGTCTGCTTTTGCAGGTCGGAGGCCCGGCGAGGTGACCTGGCACGTCCGGCGCATGGCGGCTGCAAGGTCTCAAGAGGTCCTTTGCCTAGATCTTTAACCGCTTGAGGCTGCGCTCCGGAGCGAAGGCCGAGTCTCTTGAGAGAGCAAAAGCTTATAATTTGGGCACTCGGAATCGAAGAGCTTTTGTCCTTCTCTGGTTCGGTCTGCGAGCCCCAGGGTAGAGCTCCGCGAAAGATGTCCGGCCCGCACCACTGCAGGAGCGCCTTGAGTTCTGGACCTCGCTGTTTCTTTGTGGCTTCGGGCTTATGTACGGCTTGGGGTACAGGGTGCAAGCCTTTGCCCTTCATCTGCATGTCAAGGCAAGTGGCACGACAGCAAGTAGGGCGTTGTTCGCTGGAACCTGGGCAACAGCGCTGGCAAACGAAGCCTTCATTAAGCTGCAGCTCGCAAGCGAGAGAAGCCCGAAGAGAGAATGTTTTCCGCAGTTCAAGCAGCGGGTTTCTCGCACGCCTCTTCTCCACCAACGTTTGCGAGTGGCAGCCGTAGGGATCGGATTGGAAAAGCTTTGCAGCCCTGGGTTGCCATGTCTCACCATGCACATCTAGAGTCTGCATCTTTCTGACGTCGCGCCCCTTGGGGCGCTCATGAGAAATTGAATACCGCAACTTCAAGCTGACTTTCGTTCGAAGGCTCTCGTGCTCTCCGGATTCTGCTTTCACCACATCGAAGCGAGACCCGGGAGGTGGCTGGATGCCGATGTAGGAAAATCTGTGGCAAAGGAAGGGACTCTGCACTGGGGCAGCTGAGAAGCTCGGGGGGCAAATGACGTGATGCTTCGGAATCGGTTCACAAGAAAGCTTCTGCCAGATTCTATACAAGAAACTAAGCTATCACATGGAAAATTACCGCACAGGACCGGTTCTCAGAACTGTAGCTACTGTAGAGATCATAGCTGCCGCAGTGCTTCTGATCGACGGGACAAAACTCTTCCAGCGTTTATGATTCGAAGCCCCTAACGTCGTGCCTGCCCAGATCCGAACACCCCGAAGCCTTATGACTCGAAGCTACTCTGCAACATCGGGTCCCGCCAGAACCTGGCGCTCGGAAAGCGCAAGGCTCCACGGTGCAACTCGGAGAAGCGCTGCCTGGGAGGAGAGGTCAGAAAGCCCTCTTTGGGTAGTAAGCCGTAACATGCTCCCAGTCCTAACCGCAAAGCAATGGCAGGCGGCTTCTTGAAGGTGAAACTCACGATGGTGACCCTGTCAGGATAGCGGCCCACGACCTCTTTGAAGCGACAAAGGGAAAATAGAACGTTCTGGAAGGAATCCAAGGCGAACTCCTCCGTCACGGCACGTTGTGCCACTGGCAAAAAAGTAGATGTGCGCTGCGTGCGCTGCTGCGCCTCCCTTAGAAGATCGGGGCGGTTCGCAGAGTATCCCCACCAGTCGAAGTACTCGGCTACACGATAGTAGCTCCAGCCCTCGTTTCGGGGTCCCGCTGCAGCACGAGTCTGACCTCCAGAGAATATCAGCAGAGCTCTTGGGTCCAGTGCAGCTGCCTCCACTCCCGCCTTCAAACATCAAGAGCTGTTGAATCATGTGTGAACTCTCTCTCGACCACCTTCACCAGAGCCGCATTAGACCCCTAAGCCTATGGACATCAAGAGCGCAGGCGTAGTGTCGCTTCTCAGGCTGATTGCGACGCGACTGCCTTTCTTATGGATGTGAAGTTTTTCCAAGTTACCTAGAGGATGCCGTGGCCCCAGTAAACTGTGTATAAACATGTTGAAACCCATCCAGGTATAGAAATAAGGTGCACATGGAGTGTGTGTGTGTGTGTGTGTGTTTGTGTGTGTGTTTGTGTGTGTGTGTGTGTCTGTGTGTCTGTGTGTCTGTGTGTCTGTGTGTCTCTCTGTGTGTGTGTGTGTGTCTGTGTGTCTGTGTGTCTGTGTGTCTGTGTGTCTGTGTGTCTGTGTGTGTGTGTGTAGGTAGACTGCCTCTGTATGCATTTTACCTGCTTCTAGCCTTGATGTGGCTGACGCTGGCTTGGGGAAGGTCCTGACCACGCTGATAGGCTTCAAGGAACCAGTCGGACTCTTTGTGCACGATGTGCTCCAGGGAGTCTGCCATGACCACTGCATGTCCTGCGACCATTACCAGGTGGCTGAGCTGCGAGAGCTGGCTGACGTTGAAGCTGATTCCTGCTGAAACACCGTCGTGCACGTAACCAGCGTGTATGGCGCTGAAGCGAGACCAGCAGATCAAGCCTGTGGCGATGCTAAGCAGGCTCAGAAACAGGGAAACCAGCCGAGCACTCTTCATCCAGAGCACGTTGCGCCGTCCCAGCATAAGCGGTAGCGGAAGCAAGCCATGACATCCGTCCTTTGCAAACAACTCCTTTCCACCTCCGCTCACCAGCTGGGCCGACCAGTCTTCAAACATCACAACTCACTCACAACTGCAGGGACGACGGGTGCTGATGTTGCTTGATACGTTCTGTGACGCATGGAATCATGGAATCTTCCCATGCGTGTGGTTATCTGTCCGCTTTGGTCATTTGGGGCTTGCTTTTCTTCCATCCTTTTAGCTGGCACTGCTGATGCAAAACATTCTTTTCGTGCTGTCAGCCTGCAGGCAACCTCGCGCGGCCATGATGTGAAACATGCTCGGGCCCCGTCGTTTCCATGATTATGACAGCAGTTCCTGAACCGAGTCCGGAGTTGTTGGAGCCGCAGAACTCTGGACGCGCGCATCTTGACAGCTTTTCTCGGATAAAAAGCATCCGGCACAGCAAGTCTTGAAACGAAAGGAACAAACCTCCTTTTCGAGGAGATCCAGGATCGGTCCAAACCCCCTTTTCAGAGGTCTCAGTTGCAAGGTAATCTCAAGAGATATAAGCTAAAACGGCAGTCCCAGGCTGGTGTCGCCCGGGGGGGCCAACTCTTAGCGGCCTAAGAAGGAGCCGATGTGGTACTGCTCCGTGGTGCCGGGCTGACCTTGAGGAGCTGCCAGCGCTGGAGTCCGACACTCCAGATACATTCATGCTGCACCATCATGCCATAGTATGTTCGTTCTGCCAGAAAAAAAACACGCAGACCACCCTCGAGCAGCTGAGCTCGGGGCTCGAGTCTGGACGCGGCTGTCCGTCGAAGTACCATCCAGACCTGCTCTCAAGGAATGGCCGTTTTGGCGTAGATCGTCGTAGCCCAACAAGAGGGAACTGTTCGTGATTGAGAATACAGTAGTGCACGGATGTATGACCTGCAGATGTTATCTCATGAGGAGTCTGCAATCTGCATGCATTCGAGGAGCAGGGTGTCAGCGGGCACACGCGGGGGAGAGTTGGCACGGTACCTGAGTCGCGACTGCTCGAGCTTAGCGGCTGGAATTTGAGGCTGGTCCAGAAAGCGATTGCCAGCCCTTAGCATCACTATGCCTGAGGGTCTGGCCATTGGCTCAAAGTCGTGAACTCCTGGTGGCTGCGAAATGTTGTTAACCGTGTCGGTCCAGCCCTATACGTGTCTGCCAACTTCTCGACCCAACCGAACAAGTCGCATCGACATCCAACCCCCTGTCCTGAGACTGTGCGGGTTTCGGAGGGATTCCAGCCCAAGCTGCCCTGTCTTCCAGCAGTGGGCAGCAAAGTTCTCGATCTATGCTGTCGACTCTGAGGGGACTCTGCTGCAACAGCTCCGCGCACATCAAAACAACTTCAGCCCATGAGCAATTCAGTCGCTCCAAGCGCCTCTCCAACTCGTCCTCCAACAGGTCGAAGGTTGCCAGGGGGCGGCCGCTGCTATGCCAAGCTGCTATGCCTGACCAGCCAAGCAACAAGCAGGAAAGATGATCGAACCTGAGATGGACGGACCACTGCCAACAACCTTTTCTGCCAGCTTCTTGGAAACTGATTCGAAATGTCGATGAAACTGAAGTCTAGGCAAGATTTGTCAGAGGTGCCTGCCAGCTCCTCTTTTGCGCCGTGGCCTTCCACGCGCCCACCTTTCGCTTCGACAAGGCGCTGGGCGAAGACCGTCATGGCCTCCTGTGCGAAGCTTCTGGTTTCTATCTTCAAGTCGAACAGCTACACAAGAGGCAAAGGATACCGTTACAGTGCAGCCTTGTCCCGAATGTTCGCCAGGTGGGTGTAGCCTGCGAAGATGATATCGCGTGCGGCGGGATGAACACTCACGGTGATGTATTGCTGAGCAAGCCTTGACTGTACTCCATCTATTGTACTCTGCTTTGATTCCTGAACTGTAATGAACATTCGAAACATCTTCATGACGTGGACCAGCCTTCTTCTGTGAGTGGCACGTCTCTGGCAATTGAGAAGCACTCCTGAAAACAGACTTCCATCAGTCTGTTTCAAGGATCGCACCCATGAAACTTTATCATGATGCTGGTCCTTGTGCCTTGATGTTGCGGTGATATCAACGGAATGCAAGACCGCAAGGCTAGTGTGCACAATAAGCTGTGGCGCACTGACAGAAGCATGTGACGACTCGCGAGAATCCAGAGCAAGAGCCGACCCAACACATGTGAGACATTGAAAGCAGCGCAATCGTGTACTACATACTCTCCAGACCATGGCGGCAGGTGCCTCTGTCCGGCGAAGCCTGGCAGAATGAATCAAGACACAAGCATACGCAAGCAGATGCACGGTGTGTGGCTCAACCCTGTCGGTCCGGAGAGTCTGTGTGTTCGTGATCCGTTGCAGTCCCCTCAGCACCTTGACTCAGCCAGCAGCTGCCCCGCGATGCCGAAGCCAACGGCGGAGCCGCTCAGGGAAGACTGGGCCGCAAGGATTCCATCATTGAGACGCTTTCAGTTTACAGTGGGTTTGCAAAACTGATTGCCAGTAGTGAGACTAACGATGACACTTGCAGCTGCTTCTTCCAATCTCGGTTCAGCTCTTCCAGTTAATGAAGCAGCACCCCCGGAAAAAATGCAAACGCTGAGCACGCGGTACTACCCCAGCCCTGAACAACCTCGCCAAAGAATGGTCATGGATGGACACAAAGGCTTTCCCGTGCAGCACGATGTTTGGGTTGCCCCTAGAGCCGAGCAAGTGAAGGCAGTTACGGGTCAGGATTGAGGCCCTGGCTTGGAAAGCTCCAGTTGTGTATTTGGGCGGCTTTCGGACGGACTGCTCAGTCCGCCTTAACCTCATGCCCTGACGATGTGTTACGATGATGGGCGGCACCGAATGATGTTGTCGGCTTTGCTATAGTGGTGCGCCTGTTTCACTTGGGAGTCTCGGCATCAAGCCACCTCGACCTACACGTGGAGGGATGAAGAAAAGACCGAGAACAGATACAATGGCGAAAGCATTCCGAAAATCAATAGCCACAGCAACAATTATTTCTTCGTTTGTCTACTGTGTCACGGCTGATTCGTCCGTAACAAGAGGAGCCAGCAGAAAAGCCGGCGAAAGTGGTTTGCCCCGCGCCGTATTGCCGATAGCAGACAACCGATCGCCTGAGTGCACAAACGAACCTCCTGCCCGGACAGATTATGTGCAAGGCAAGATAATGCCAGAAAGAAGTTTCAAGCGAAAAAGAAACCGACTAAACAAAGGCAAACAAAGGCAAACGAAGCAGGACACCCCGCCACCTAAAGCGATCTAAAGAGAAACATCAGACTTTGCTGTGCTCTGCTCGTCCTTTGAGTCGGCGCTGCTTTGCTGAGCCCTCTCTAAAGACATCGAAAATTATTAAAAGGGGGGGCTGTAGGACTCTGTAGGGCCCGAATTGCCTCACACGGAAATGGCCTGTGTGCAACAAGGACGACCAAAAAAGGCGCTCGTGCAGACATGCGCCGGAGTTCCATCCCAAGCCGACGTGAGGGCGTAGACAACGCTTCAGCCGTATGGCAGACCAGTATGTTCAATTCACCTGCTGCCTATTCCTTTATCTCCGCCTGCTGTTGCTATGGCTGCTATGGGAGTGTTGGTCCGAGCTGCAGTGCCAATAGAACCATCTGCCGACACCTGGCAGGGCCACAACAACAGTCACAGCGAGTGCCAGCAATGACGATGACAACTAATCAGATCACACTAATGACAACATAGCATACCCATGCATACCCAAATCGACAAGAGGCTCTCTCAACTTCATCTGTCAGATCAATGCTATGTCGATGTAACTACGGAATCTAAACTAGCTGCTAGTACAGTATCTGCCTCTGAGCCGAATCTGGTGACTCCCTGCTTGGTGGCTGCCACCGGCGATGCGACCGTGGAGTCCTCAAGCTCAGGGTCTCCACTGGTGCACAGCTTCGTTCTGACTCTACAAAATGGGCAGGCTAGCTTGCTGGTGCAACTCATGCAGCTAGTTCCCAAGACTTGCATGCCAGCCACGATGTCGTCGTCGAGCTCGCTGCGGATCTTGCGGAATGCCTGCGGAGGTGGAGACCTGCATCAAGCTGGTACAAGCAGGAGCCCTCGGGCGATCGAGTGAGAGCATGGACACTGCGCTGTTCCTGTTGTGAACCCGGGCAATCACGACTGCTTCTCTCAAGGCATACTTCGCAGCTGTGGCAAAACCAGAGCCCTCTTGTGAGAGCCTGGTCGCGCAGACCGGCCAGTCCTGAGGCTCACGAAAGCTTGGGGATTTCAGGTTTTGTAGGCACTAACACCGCGATTTCAAGACACTCCAATTGCAGCTAGATGAAAAGCATGAGCTTTCAACAACACCAAGCAGTCGGTGTTGAATGATCCTGTAGCAGAAGACATTCCTCTGCATGCATGTCCTCTTTCGGCCTGGTACCGCAGCACTGCTGGCCCATGGCTCACAAAGGAATCCAAGCGACTCCAAAAAAGCCTGATGACTCCTGCTCTTCATACCATTCATTCTATCGAATGCCACGACATCTCTGTCGTTGTGCGTGGAGTGTGCAAGCAGGCCGGCTCATGCGTGTTCTAGGTCTTATCGAGCAACAGCTCAGCGAGAATGTCACGTAACTATGAAAGCAAGAATGCAGAAGGAGCGGAGGAGGAGCACTTATGAATCTGTGCCTGCCCGCAGGACGCTGACCTTGTTCAAGGATGATGCTGAGGCATTACGCGCGTCGCACGCGTGAGCGAAAGGACCTGCCGCAAGGTGTTTACCGATATGATTGTCCTGTTCCGAAGCAAGTTGCAAGAAGTGAGCCGATTGCGACCTTGTTGGCATGTTCACCTTACCCTAGCCCGTCAAATTAAATGGGACGTGGGAACAACGGATACAAACCTCACCAACAGCATTGGTCAGCAAGTGCTGAGGAAGTTGAGACTGGATAAATCCAGACACGCCGCTTTTTCACTGCGTTCTCTTTGAGAAACTCACCGGAACCAGACACAGGCTGACAGCACATGCCATCCAGATCTTGATCCTTTCCCTCCAGTGTCCTCCCTGCCCCAGGAACGTTCTCCTTGTCCAACAGCTCTGACTCTTGTCGGACCGATGTGCCGAAGCTGGCCGATGCACGCATAGACCTCGATGTCGTCAAAGATACGCGCCGCCAGGAAGAGCAGCAAACGCCTCAGGATTGCACTGCGGCGGCCCCAAACATCGGAGTGCCTTTCAGAATTGCAGCCTGAAGGCGCTGCGCTACCTGGTACGAGGCTTCTTTGTAGGTGGCTCCGCATGCTTTGTCAGTGCCTCATAGGACCTCGGCGGAATTTGCGTGAGGCTTCAAAGCGGTGTAGTTGTTCTTAGCCTGGGGCTTCCCCGCAACGTAGTCCGCCACTGCTTTGAGCGCTCCGTTCCCAAATGCTGCCACCGAGAAGTTACGGGCTGGAGGTCGCTTATCCTTGCAAGCATCAGCGCTGAATCTTTATCGCAGTTGCGATGGTGGATGTGCTGATGTTCCCGGAGGAGCCAGTGCTAGTCAAGGATTGATGCTGTGACCTCAACACTGCTGTCCTTCGCTCCCTCCGCATCCGGATGTCTCCTGCTAGATGGCGTATCACCTCGAAAGCACTTTGATCAATTTCACATGACTTCACTCGACGAATGGTCAATGCAGCGACCGACCATGAGAATTGATGACGAGCCATTGGACATCATTGGACATGAGCTGGGGCGAGACAAGGGACAGTGGAACTCCACTCGAAATGCTCCGTTCTGCAGATCGGCTCGGACGCAGCTCCAATCCAGGTGCATCTGCCAGGACAACATGCTCACCACAGCATCACACGCTCAAGCTATCATGACTCAGGGTTGTCCCGTTCCTCCCTTTGGAAATCATGATAACACCGGAACCACATTCCTGAAATTCCCTGCATCTCTGCATCCACCCATGACACAACTGACCGGTGGGTTGCTGAAGCCCAAGGTCTCTCCCAAAACCTACCCCGAATGCGCGGACAAACTCTCTAGAGAGCTGACCTCATTGCAGAAACTCATGGCCGTCTTGCTGTTGAGGTGTTGAGTACACCGAAGGGCAGAGGGCGAACTCTTGCGGGAGCATTTCCGCGGCGTGTCGTATTCACTCCTTCGGGCAAATTACGCAACAAAGCATGCATTCTGCGAGCCAATGATTGAGAGGTATCTCGACCTGCTGCACGACTTTCGAAACGAGGAATTAGGGCGGGAGTGAAACACGATGGGAAAAACAAAAAGCTTCACATCCTTTCAACCCGATTGGCACCCAAAAAGTAGCCAGAAAGGTGGAGCACATGACCCTGCTGAAGGCCAAGAATCCTTAGATTCAGTTGACAGAGGCAGTATCCAGGCTCCCCAAAGTTGTTCTTCAAGCTCGTGATGTTGTCCGCGTCCGGCGGAACCTTAATCCCGACAACGTCTACAGCCGTTCAGAACCAGATCAAGCAGACCTGTCAGGTAGAAGGACCGGAGACCCTTCACCGATTCACTTCTTCTGGACAGGAAAAGGCGAATGTCGCTGCAACCCGGAGTGACAGCAGTTTCGCTTGCTGCCAGGAGAACTCGAGCTGAAGCTGACACGGAAGGACCCTGGCCACTTCCTGAAGCTTGCGCATGACATCGCCGTATACAGCCTCTCCTGTCGGAAGCCCAGGTGCCTTCTTGGACATTGGCATCTGGTTCTGAAGCTCCAGAGCAGTCCATCGCAACGTGCGCGGCTGGAGCGTCCGTCGAATCCGCAGCTGCGCCTGAATCTCGGCCACCGGGAAGAACGGAGGAGAGAAAGGACGAAGACGAGCTGACAAAGGTCTCGGGACCTCCTTGCTAGCTCCAGTTGCGTTCTTGCGTGTCTCGTCAACTTCCCGTTGGAATGTGATCCCTGTCCTGCATCTTCCTCTTTCGACTGCTGGGCTTGATGGTCCGGTAGCCTCTGAAGCAGTAGCTGCAGTAGCTGTCCTAGACCTAGGGTCTCTCGGCTACACGTGCTGCACACAAGTTGTGCTCCTGCCGCTTGCTGCAGACTTCTGTTCCGGAGTTTCGTCCTCACGTTCCTCATAGGGGACGCAAGAAGGGAAGTGTGCTGTCGGATAAGCGAACACAAGGCCGAGATTCCGTTGGTGCTGGAGAGCCATTCACAATCCTCGAGAGACGCGGGTGCAAAACTCTTCTCGAGCCGACTGCAGCCATGGCACTCCACGGTTTGCTGAGCTTTCGGGGTCGACAGCTCTGCCTGAAGACGGGAAGCGCGTAGAAAAAAAAAAGGCAATCAGATTGCAAGTGCTGCCTCTTTCTGCTCGCTCTTGGACTTCTCCGGCGATCCCTTGGCAAGACGATAAGGCTTTGCCGAGTTTTGAGAGCCTTCGACTCCAGACTCCAGGGCCTCTACTTCGGGTTCCTGTGGCTTCTCCCAAATCTTCGAATAGACCTGGCGAGAAGCACTGGAAAGAACTCCTCTTTTACAGGGAACCTCCCCACCTCGCCTGGCAGTTCTTCGTTGAGTCCTGGAAGTATCCCTCCAGCGGGGCGATGCTCTCGCCAGCAACACGGAAAAGAGTCCTCAGGGAAGCAGCACTTCAGCTTCAGCTAGTTCGTCACTTCGAAAACCATGATGGTCCATGACAGCTGCACGACTTGAAGGCTTGAAGAAACGCCAAGCGACCCAATCAAAGACGCCTTCTGCCTCAGCCTCGCAAGCTGGATGGCGCATGGAAGAAGAAGCAAGGCCACAGCATGTTACCAGTGTTGCATGAAATACTCTATCTGTTTTTCTGCAACAGCATCGGTGTCTGACTCGTTCAAGTTCACTTTACCTTTCGCTCTCCCCCTCTCTACAGACAAGGTCTCTTCGCTCTCTACATACCATACAATAGATACAATACAAGACAAGATAAGCCAAGACCTTAGCCAAGCCAAGACAAAACAAACTTGCACGCGAGACATATAGCACAACAGGCTTTTTGTGCAATCTCCATAGGCCCCTGTTGCCCTGGCCTTGTTAAGATGCTGCATCTACATATATACACATATACATGCACCTACAGAGAGATATAAATATAGATATGCACGCACACACATATGTGTTAATCTTGTGTATCCTACATCATTAACTAACTAATTAACTAACTAACCAACCAACCAACCCACCAACGAGCTAACTGACTAACGAATTAACTAACTAAATAACTGACTAACTAACTAATTATGTAAGCATGCATTTAACTGCATTTCATACATATATATAATATATATATACATACATACATACATACATACATACATACACACACACGTATATTTTTTGTACCCGGCCTTGTCAAGGAGACTTCATGATCTTGCTGGCGCGTCGGAGCAGCGCCGGCCTCTAGCTCCTTGCCTTCTGGGCCTTCCGGTCCATGAGAGTCGCAAGAGAAGTGGCTTGTGAATTTGAGGTAAGATCTTACATCCGAGTATATTATAGTATAGTATAGTATAGCAAACCATAACATAGCATAGTATAGTATAGTGTAGTATAGGATATAGGATAGTTAGCATGAGAAAATGGTTCTATTCTAGTACAGTGCAAAGGGCTTATGCTTGGCTCTAGGGGCTCCAGTGTTTGGCATGAGCAGGAGTGAGTCTTTTTTCCGTCACCCCTGTCATCATGACCTTGTCAAGCTCCTCAAGAATGCGGAGCTTTTCAGCGTCTCTCTTTTTGCCCTTGACAACAGTAAAGTAGAGTATAATATAGTATCGTATAGCATAGAAAAGTGACCAGGAGCTCTCATTTTGTCCCTCTGCCTTTGAAGGTCGAGACTCGGAATTGCCGGGAAGTGCTTCGCCTCTGGAGCTTCGGAGTCGCGAGGCCGCTTTCGGGTGCCATGGCGAAGACCGCATCCGCCAGACACCACTTGCCTAAAGCCGTCGCCAGATCGGAGAGACGCTGTCGAAATCGTATCGTATTACTGCGGCTGTCACGCAACATCGGGTCGGGGGCAGGAGGTCTCAGAGCAGGCGATCGCCCCGGCCGGGAATCGGCAAAAGGGACCTGGAGGTTCTGAGAGATTAGCCCAGGCCGCGCTCGGGCTCTCCACGCAGACTTTGCTCCTTCCGGGCCCTGCCAGCTGCTGCCCTTGCCAGATAGAAGCTCACCGGCTGAAGCGTCTCTGAAGACAGAAACCTCTGCATGTCGAGACGCTGCGCTGCCTTCATGCAGGCTTGGTCCACATCAACTCCCAGGGCCGACAAGCCGAGTTGATTCGCAACAGCAAGAACCGTACCACGACCACAGAAGGGGTCGACGATAGTTTCAGTCGTGGGCTTCACCTTGCGGATCCAAGAGAGCACGGTGGTCACGACATTGGCACCCATACCCTGTGCATAAACCTTTCGGCCTCTGGGCACGAGATCAGGAATGCTGCACTTCCCGCTCAGCACGGCTCGTCCTTCATCGCGGGCGGTCGCTTCCCAACGCGGGTCCGGGGCACCGCTGGATATCAGGAAACAGAGAAGGTGGGAGTAGTCTGCGTTGTTGCCCCGGCGCGGCATGTCCACGGCCTCTGGATCGAAGCTGATCTTGTGCCAGAGCAAAGCGGCCCCTGCCATGTCAGCTTCCTGGCAGATCATCGCAGCCTTGTCTAGCCACTGCCCACTACTACAGATGTCTGTCTGATAAAACACAACGATGGTCTCTTTCTTGCAAGCTCGAAAGAGCAGCCTGAGTGCTCGCCGAAACCAGGCAACGTACATGTTGAGTGGAAGGTTCTGACCTTTCTTGATCTCCGACCAGTCGGGCAAGGAGGTAAACACACAGGAATTCTCGGGAAAGCCTGAGGTCCCAAGCTCCTGCATCCACTCCAAGGCATCTCTTTGCAAGACTCTTCTTGTGGGCTCTTCTCCGGCCGTGGAGACTGCCGCACTGCGAGAGCGAGAGGCCTCTCGCCTGAAGAGGAAGCCCAAGCAGCAAAAACTGTCGCTAAAGGGAGGGCATCGTGCGAGCATTGGGCCTGGAACCATAAAAAAGCGAGAACGCAGTAGCTTGGCGCTGGAGATGGCGGCAGCGCTTTCGGGGATGCGAAGAGAGAAACAAGAGCTACGACTCGCTTCCTTTCCATGCCCAGGGCCTCCCAGGGCCTCCCGCCTCCGTCGTGCATCTCCAAGACTTCCGCCAAAGTGTGCTCGGCAACGGTGCAAATGGTTCTCTGGCCTAATCTGCATGTGCATAATTACGTATGCACAATTGCTGCTCAGAAAGTAGGCTGGTCAGGAAGACGGGCAGGGTTTCCATGCCGGGGTGGAACTTGGCGCTCTGGATCTGGATCTTTACTTCACGACATGGGCTACGCAGTCCCACGTCTACGTGAAAGCAAGATTTAACAGCCAGAGGAGCCGAAGAAGCCTCCGAACTCCTGAAGCTGTACCGCGGCAGCCTCATCTTCCTGCAGGCAGCGAGGCTCCAGACTAACAGAGCCGGCACCGTTGCATGGATTCTACATTGGGCCTGCGAGAGCAGCTGGCAAAGAGGGACCACTTCGACAGCCAAGTTTCCTTTTTTCGTACGTGGTTTGTCAAATAGGGCAAACTCCGATTCTCTGTGCCAAGCCTTCAACTGAATCTTTTGCCATGTCGCTCTGTTGATGCTGTCCTCCCTCCTCGTGTGTGCGGAAAGCGATGAGCTCATGATGGATGCCACCTGCATTCACCCGTTACGTAACTTCTCTGAGCGGTGCATAATGGCGTCAGTTCAGCCAGGTGACCAGAGTCTCCGTAGTTGAAAACTCCAAAGATCAATCCAACAAAGTCCTGGGGCATGGGTTTCGATCTGCCAGGGCTGAAGAACTTCTACAGCCGAGCGGCTGCATCCATAATCTGGTACTCCAGCTGAGTTCGAAGATCTACATGGCTTGGAAAGCAGGTGATGTGCGGATGCGAGTGGTACCAGCCCACCACCCTGGTACGGCACTGCAGCACCTGCACGGTGCACGGGGATGCACGGTGCCGCTTAACCAGTAAACTGGTGTGAGCACTCTCTGCCTTTGGGGGGCTACCCGCCCTTGGCTACCCTTTGCCCTGACGACCTTGTTCAACTCATCCGCCACATGGACTGCCTCCAAGAATTGGAACTATTACTCCAAACACAGAACGAGTGCACGCCGCACGCGCAGTGCAGGCGCAGGCAAGCGGCGACAGACTGACTGCTGCGTTCAGCGCAGAGGCTTAGAGTCAGGTGCCAGTGCTGTGTGGAGCCAGGTGCTGTGATTTTCCGATGGCAGTTTGAAGTCGGAATGCTCAAGTGGCATGTGCATGCATGTGCGATGCTTTCAACGTCTCCAGCATTCCCCATTGTCCCTCTGTGTGTGTGTGCGCGCTGATGCCACCAGCTAAGCCGTCAAGTGAACTGAAAATCCAAGGGTACCACAGAGCCTGAACCAGCTGCTCTGGTGCGATTTCGACTCGATCTGGTTGCTTGTCACTTCGGCGCCTCGGCAGTGCAAACGGATGACAACGGTATTTACTCACAGGACTGTCCAACATACGTTTCACGGCTCCAATGCGTCGAGGGACAAGGTCATTGAACACCATATCCGAACCTGCTTTACAGTGCCCTGCTCGTCTTTCAGGTTTTGGTGCTCTCTCCCAGCCTCAGAGCCTTCCGCGTCGCCAAGAAGCAATCCCATGATCTCTTCATTTTCACTCATCAGCGCATGAGCCAGGCATGCCTCGGATTCAAGCAGGCACATCACATCACATCGCGCCGCTCTGCCAGTCCATTCATGTCCCAGTGACATGATACACCTGCTCTGACAGGAGCAACCGACCTCCTTCAGCCATGCCATGCTCAAGGTGCACACGGATTTGCTCTCTCTACGTGGATAACTTTGTTGCTGCTTGCTGCCTCGGGACCTGTGAGTTTACGTGCGTGCAGACATGCAACCACATGTGCACGTGCACACACACACACTTTTACTTTTACTTTCACTTTTACACGCTATACACATTTTTATGTATATGATATCTGTGCTGTAATACAGATACATATACATATACATA